GTCACACCTTGTAGTTACATTCAAAAACACTCCTTATTAACCACCATTTGTCCGCCTTCAGCAAGTTCAACAAACCTCTACATGGCAGACCTTCTACCTGCACCTGTGCTTCACTTCTACACCGTTCCCTGCAGACAGATGCATCCTGTAATCTGGTTTATTCATGGACGGAGGATATCGAAGCTTCTGTAGCCTAAATAACTTAACAAGCTTTTTTCATGTCAACAATTAGCACTTTGTTTAAACTCTACCTTTGTTCTTCGTTGTCTCCCAGGTGAGGATGACGACGATGAGGAGTGCGGCGAGGAGAAGCTGCCGTCGTGTTTCGACTACGTCATGCACTTCCTCACCGTGTTCTGGAAGGTTCTGTTCGCCTTCGTCCCGCCCACAGAGTACTGGAACGGCTGGGCCTGCTTCGTCGTCTCCATCTGCATGATCGGACTGCTCACCGCCATCATTGGTGAGCCGTTAACGTTTGCATTTTGAGCAGCGACAGTAGATTTGGGCAAATCCAAACATGATTATTGAATGGATTCTTTTTTTTAATCCTCTGAACCCCAAATAGCACCACAGTGTTTTTAGCAACTGTGGGCTCATTTTTTACTGCAATATAAGATCCAACACCTTCATAACAACAATACAATCATGTCTATATTGCCATAAGTTGTAAAAAGAAGTAAAGACGGGTGAATTTCTTCATTTTTTTAAAACTCATAACATTTAGAAAGGACTTAAAATCAACATGTACAGCATTTGTGTCAAGTGTCTACAAGTGTCTAATCTAGTTTTCTCTGAATTGGACATGATTTTTACAAGAGAAATGTAAAATAAAGTCATTTATTAAACAATTTTAAGCTCAGATTTGGTTTTCCGAATGAAGGGCACATCACAAGTGTGTAGTTCAAGGACTGTGGGGAAAATCCAACAATTGTCAAGATAAGATTAGATAAGATAAACCCTTACTAATCTCACAGTGGAGAAATGTGCAGGGTTACATCAGCAAAGGTGAGAGTGCAAACATGTAGAGCATATCAGTGGAAAAATCTGACTAAACAAGACATTTCACATAATTATATGGTAAAAAAAAACAATATTGCACAGATTAGTCCATGAGTAGACAACACTGATCTAAGAACTACGATTGTGTACAGATTATATTGATATTGCACAGATTCTTTTACAGTTTCTGTCCCAAATAGAGTAAAATATGATGAATAAGTCAAAGCGAACACGCCTTTCAGATCTGCTCATGGGCTTTGGGGTGTCGAGGGTTGATCGTCATGGGGCACATCTGTGAATAAACAACATTTAGCATTTTTAAAAGTTTTCTTTATGAGTTCTAATTGTATTTAATGTCATTACAGGGGACCTGGCCTCTCACTTTGGCTGCACAGTGGGTCTGAAAGACTCGGTCACGGCGGTCGTATTCGTCGCGTTGGGAACCTCCGTACCAGGTGAGCACGTGTTCATGTACATGTATGTGTGCTCAGAGATGAGTCCGACTCTTCAGTTGTTTTAATAACCGTAGATCTCACCGCTGTCGGACTTCCCGCCATCTTTAATCAAAACTTTTCCTCTCTCTACATTTGGCATTTAGTTTCATAAGGTCATTATGAGCATATAATATCCCACGGTCTTCAATTTAGGAATAGATTTGTGTTCATCAGCGATCCCCTTCAGGGAGAGTACGCTGACATTTTCGGTTCTTTGCTTTATTTTTTCTTCCCATTTCCAGAAGCTTGAGAATTCCCATTTCTTTTCTCCAGTGTGTATTCTGCAGATTAAAGGAGACGGCTTTACAGAGTGCATTAATGACTGTTTCATAAACGGCTCATTAAAGCTCTTTTGAACAACAATCAAACAAATCAGTCATCTGTAATAGAAAAGGGAGTTAAGTTACTACATGCAAAGTTGTGGCAAAGTTAGAGAAAAAAGGGTGTCTGTGTAGATACAAGCATAGAAAACATGGATGTAGTGATCGGTGCGTCACTAACTGGTTTGTTGACTGTCTGAAGTTTGGCATTTGGACGTTGCCATCTTGTTCTGTTGGAACCAAATGAACTTGAGGATGCTGTGCATGTTGATAGGATAACAACGTGTCAGTTACTGATAGACTGCTGTGCTCTATCATCTAATTTACTCTCTATAGGACCACGTTTTACTAAATGAACATCACGTTGTCTTGAAGCAGACTTGAGAATAGCAGTTAAGACCATAAACCTGTTAAGAAAATGTTAATTAAGGTAACAAGTTGCTATTTTTAGGGCTCCTTCAGTATTGGATGATGTTCATTTTGCAAATTATGGTTGAATTTGGCTGCAAGGTGGCTCGGTGGTTAGCACTGTGAGGACACCCGGGATCTTTCAGTTTGCATGTTCTCCCCGTGCAGTGTGGGTTCTCTCCGGGTTCTCCGGCTTCCTCCCACAGTCCAGAAACATGCTGAGGTTAATTGGTGATTGTAAATTGTCCGTAGGTGTGAATGTGAGTGTGCTTGGTTGTCTGTCTCTAAGTGTAGCCCTGTGATAGACTGGTTACCTGTCCAGGTGAACCTGCCTTCACCCTGAGTCAGCTGGGATAGACTCCAGCCCCCCATGACCCTAGTGAGGATGAAGTGGTGTATAGATGATGGATGGATGAATTTGGGGTGAAACAGATGATAAAGCAGGGTATGTTTTAGGGCAGGGCGAGCTTATAATTAACACGTCAGCATCACTGTCCACATGTTCTCCAGTCAGACACACCCATCAGTTACTTTGTCCAAGTTTATTGGACAATTTAATAAATATAAATTCAAATTATGTAATTTAATCTCAAATTTTTATTTTAATTATTCTAGTGAGCAATTCGATTTTAAATATGTTCAGATTCACTTTATGGTGGCACAAATTTCCATCCAGACTGTAAATAAAAGATGCATCTCTACGTGTCCGACGCTTCGTTTCCGTCCGTAAGCCATTTAAACATCAAGAAAAATACACTCACAAGCAAAACTGAATAGACCACACAGCTCGTATTTTTTTTTCCTGCTGTTCACCGAGAGAGTTTTCACCACGACCGACCCACTGGTTCCCAGTCCCCCCGATGTTTTTTTATCTTTGTGGAAGCCTTTAAGACGAAGCCGGGCGGTCTGCAGACAGCTCCATGGATCATCCTCTAAACATGAAGAACTGCAACGGCTGGCTTAATACGTTTTAGACCTTGGCCCCAGTTATCACACACAAACACACACAAACACACTCGCTACACATGACATACAGCACATGATGCAATGCAAGATGTATAAGCTGCAGACAACTGTGTACCTTTTGGAGTCAGACACTCATATACCTGCAGCGCAATAGAGCTTGACGGAGACTTGCACACACACACACACACACACACACACACACACTGATACTGCTCCTGTGACCACCGTGTGTTATTAGCATCAGGCTATTTGTCATGTCAGGCTCAGGTGGTCTCTGTCCTCCCATTTATGGAGCTCGGGGATACGAGTGATGTGTTATATACTATTTCACGCACACGCACACTGTATACGTACACTTGTATTTTACACACGCACACAATAAAATGCTGTATTTGTGGAAAAACGCATACACACAGCTGCTTGAAACACACACACACAGACTTGCAGGCGGTGTGTAGAGCTGCCGAATGGAAACAAAGTGGTTCAGCCTTTCTGAGGCTCTCAGCCTTATTAACACAACCTCCTGTGGCCTGCACACACACACACACACACACACACACACACACACACACACACTAGCACAAAGAAACAGACCTCCAGTTCTGTGGCTATTACAGTTAATAAAACCCATCCTGCGCTGCGGTTCCACCGTGATTAACCTCGTTTATCACAGTTTGCTAGGCTAACGCGCACACACACGTACAGAGCAACCGGAGGAAGCAAAACAAGTGAAGAAGTGAAGCTGTTAAAAGAGAATTAGGAACTCCAGAAACTGAAATTTGTTTGCGGGTTTGGAGATTCGGGAGAAACGTCTGTTTATGAGTCCACGCGATGTTTTCGGTGTACCATGTATCATTTCATGTTGGCCTCAGAAATTCAATCAACACATTCAAACTGAGAAAAAGCACCGCGGAGTTCGGTGGGATAAACAAGTTACATAAGGAAAATGGGAGCACTCTGGACAGTGGAGCATCTATTCAGCATTTATTATCACAGCGTGATATTTCAGGTCTATTTTTATGTGGCGGCTTTACGGGCTTAAAGGGACGGAGATGAAAGACGTGAGGAGGAATATGGACTTCTACTGAATTAGATCATACAGCAGAGAGGGAAATTAGCTCAATCTACTTTGATAATTATTATGAAACGGTTAATCAGCTTGTAGGAAATGTAATGCTTTTAACTGTTACAAGGCAATGAAAATACAAAAAGGTAAATAGGAGACGTCTGCCTCTCTGTTGGGGACTGATTGTTCTTTTTTCTTTCATCAGTTGCTGCTACAAACGCAATCTTTATCAGAATATTGGCAACGTGGATATTGATTAAACTCCTCTCGGTCAAAATTGCAAAATGAGAAACTCAAAGAACCCGAAAACAGCATTTCAGTCGTCCAGCGCTCTTTTCCAGAACTACATACCTTGAAAAAGTTTGGCCATGACTGTCAGTGAGAACAAAATAGAATAGAATAGAATAGAATAGAATAGAACTTTATTGATCCCTTTGGTGCAAACCTCAGGGAAATTGTTGAAATTTGCCTCAACATCTTATATCCCAGGAAGAAGATTTTAAACTGTCCTCCTAACATATCGTCTGGTGTCTGCTCTGACTCGTTGGCCTGTTCTATCCGTTCATTCGTGGTCCTCAGAGGATTCTGCACCGCCAACAGCTGCCAGAGGCTCTTTGTTTTTGACTCGTCCGTCTGTCCGTCTGTCACCCTGTGAACGTAATATCTCTTCAACACCTGGAGGGAATTTCTTCACATTTGGCACAAACATCCATACGGACTCAGCGATGAACTGGTTAGATTTTTGGTGCTCAAAAGTCACTGTGACTTCACTGAACAGGCTTTCGGGCATATCTGAACTCGTGAATAGAATCGCTGATGAATTGCTTTTGGGGATTTCAACTGGAATAAACATTGAGCTGATTAGATTGTGACTTTAGACTGCCACCTCAACCTACCTGCTGCGAATAGCTTCAAATTGGGCACAAATGTCAACATGGACTCAACAATGAACTGACTAGATTTTGGTGGTCAGAGGTCACTGTGACAAATATAACATACAGTTAAAAACTCTACCACAGCATACCAGGAAATCCCACAGTGGTATATCACTGTAGAAGATATGTTGAATCACCGTAAATCAAGAAATGCTCGTTTATATGGTCATGATATGTAGAAAACACACAGTTTTATGGTACTAATGTAGTATTTTGGTAAAATTCATGGGAAATGCCATCATGTTGCCCCATTTTTGCACTAAAGTTCATTTAGACTTAACAATGAACTGATATTTTGATGATCAACGGCCACTGTGACGATGCAAAAGTGTGCAAATGTAGAAAGTACGGTTGAGAACTGTCCCACTGCATACCATGAAATCAAAAGAGTGTATCACCATAGTAGACATCACCCTAAATGATGCTACATAACTGTAGTTTTTACTGTCATAATACGTAAAAAACCATGAAGTTGTCAGTGAAAATATAAAATTTAGGAAAAAAATAAATGGGAAATTGCTATAATGTCACATGATGTGGCACAATTGCCTAAAAATTAAGGGTTTTATTCTCTAAAAATTACAGATTTTGTTCAAATTTATAGTGTAAAAAGTTATGTTTTCAAGTTGTCCGTCCGTCCTTGCATCTGTTCGTTCCATTCTTGTGAATGCGATATCTTCAGAAAGCCTTTGCTTGGCTTCAAGGATGAACTGATTAAACCTTGGTGTTGAAACTCAACATGCATTTCCAACAGTGTAAAGTGATGATTATATCCAAGAGCTCACAGGTCAGCTTTACTGTGACATTGCACTGTAATGAAAAAACCCTTTTCTGGTCATTATTCAGCACCATAAGTCAGAAACATGGACGTAAACGACGACTTCTCTGGTTGGTGGAGGCACACAACTGCGAGGCGGTAACTCCGGTTTCAATCTTTCCTCTGTCGCCAACACCAGAGAGAACATTCGACATAGCAGAGAAAGTGCCAGATTTTTATGAGCACGTCGATGCTCCCCGATGTGTCATTCCATTTTAAGAGGCAACAGGGGGAAACAGGGGCAGAAGAGAGTGAGGGGGGGGGGAGGAGAAGAAGGAGAATGAGGTTGAAAGAGAGGCGAGAGATTGGTTGATTGACAGAGAGGCAGAGGAAAAGGGCAGAAAGCTCTCAGGGGAGGCGTCGCTCTCACAGAAGGAGCTGCAGAGTGGAACCTGTTTCGCAAACACACACACACACACACACACACACACACACACACCGCGAGCGCCCACGCACTCGCCCACTCGATCAGCCTCGCGAGCACTCAAAGACCAATTGATGCACAGACATGCGGGTCGCTGCCAGCTGGTGGAGGCACGGCGTCAGATTGGACCCAGGTGGTGCAAACACACTCAGAAACCGGCGTACATGTGTGACACGTTACACAGAAAACACATGAGCAGAGCCTCGACGGCGGCAGGACGGCGCCTAAAGCTTCAGGGCGGATGGGGAGATGTGTCTTTGCGGGACGCCTCTTTCATTAGCCCATTGTCTCGGCCTTCCCAGCATCCTCTTTTCCACCGCCAGTTTGGCTGACACTTCCAGAAAGCCCTTCCTTCCTCCTCTTTCTATCCTTCACTTCCTTGCTTTTTGCTCTGTTTTTTTTTTTATCTCCTCTTGCTGTATCTGGCAGATGAAAGAGAAGAACAAAGAGAAGATGGCCAGAAAAATTAGCAAGAGAATAGAGCGCTAACTGACCGTTTGGATATTTGCTAACCGAAGAGCCTATTGTTGTGATCTGGCAGAGTCCCGTCCCCCTTTGGAGCCGCCGTAGTTTGGCAAACCAGGGGAAATTTTTTATTTTTTTTTGGGTCCAAGCAGCACAACGCTGATGAGCTGCCAGGCCAAAGATTTGTCTGTCCCTGCAAACGGAGATTCAGCCGTTGTAAATTATTGATCTTGGACCAAATCCTGCCCGTGCTGGCTGCCAGTGAAGGAACACTGTAACAGGATTAAAGATTGCGGTTTCTAATTTAAGGTTCCCTGTCTGAATGCGGAAAACAGGATTTGCACAGTGTTCTGTGTTAATAATTATAAGTGTTCTGCGTTTGTCAAGGGCGTCCTTCTCTGTCGCTGCAGTCTTGTGTAACTGGCGATTGACTGCGCTCAGAGGTCAGGAGTTGGACAACAGGTGTAAATCTGTTTGCACCGCGAAGCATTAAATCAGGAGGACTTTATGTTTTTGTACTTTTTTTTTTTGGTGTTATTCAGTGAGATGCACGGCCACTCCTCCGAGGCCCGATCATCCCCTCAGAAGCCTGTACTTTCTTCGTCGCCAGAATCAAGAGTTTCATTCCTCTCGTTATTAGTAATCAGGAGGGGCTTAATTAAAATCTGACTTTGTGGTGGCTCGAGGGAAAAGGTCAAAGTTTCATCGCTGTATTTCTCCCGGAAAAGTCGGTTTTACAGCGAACAGTGAAGACTTTACTGCAGAGCGTCCTATGACTTGTTGACATCATTACTCCTCTATGTTCACTTACAGTAATCCTTATTAACGAAGCAGCCTCGTTAACTGATTTTACATGCTGCCAATATATCAACAAGATCTATTGGTGCAAACTATCCATTATCGCTCTTTCTTGATTATCCATAAACAGGGATATGTTGTGTTGGTGGCGTGTCTGATCTCTCCTCCTCCTTTGCCTTCTCCATCCAGATACATTTGCCAGTAAGGTAGCTGCTATCCAGGACCAGTACGCAGACGCATCCATCGGTAATGTGACAGGATCCAATGCCGTCAATGTTTTCCTGGGCATTGGGGTGAGTCCGTCTCCTGCTATTAACGACTGGTTCACTGACAGCTCGTGGAAATGCAGCAGCACTTGTCATCTTGCTGTAATTATAATCTTGCATTAGTCATAGTTGTGGTTTTGAGTGAGTGCACTTCTTTAACTCTTCCGTCTGTGATTTTGCTGGACAGGTGGCGTGGTCCATCGCCGCCATCTACCACAACAGCAAGGGGGAGGATTTCAAGGTGGATCCCGGCACGCTGGCTTTCTCCGTCACACTCTTCACCATCTTTGCCTTTATCAGCGTCGCCACGCTGATGTACCGACGGCGACCAGAGATCGGTGGAGAGCTGGGCGGGCCCCGGACTGCGAAGGCCCTGACCACCATGCTGTTCGTCAGCCTGTGGCTCCTCTACATTCTTTTCTCCTCGCTGGAGGCCTACTGCCACATCCAGGGCTTCTAAGACGACGGGAGACGACGAAGGGAAGGGTGAGACAGAAGTGGAGGAAGAAACCAGGGGGAGGTGGATGAATGGGTGGATATGGAAATGAAGGCTGTCTCGTTGATCTATCGCTCCCTACCTTTTCCGCAATAGACTGAATGACGGATGAATGGATGGATGTACAGATGAAGGACTGGAGGACGCGTCAAAGCATCTAAAAAGAGAATGGAAGGAAGCACGGATGCATGGAAGGACAACAATAAACACGAGAGTCCTAGGAGCTAGAGAGATCGCTCAGAAGATGGAAACATGACGGGGAAATAAGCAAAGGAATACATTTTTTTTGTCTCACTCTACGAATCCAAACCTTGTCTTAATCCCGCTAACATTTTAAACACATCATCCCTATAGTTGCAAACACACAGGCAAAGAAATAATGTGTCCCAGCTGATTCAACCATACAGACATCAAACAGAGGTTTAAAGCTCCTAACCGGGATGTGAGGCTCCAACATCAGCAACCACATCGATCCTCCGCCACGGGGAGCGTCTCCAGCGTCCGGCTACAGCAACAGGCACGAGTGAGACAGAAAAAGACTGCATCGGCGGTGTAGTGCATGACCAGACGACACTGAAGGAACCGGATGCGTCGCCGTTTAACTGACGACAAACTGTGTGCGTGCTGGTGCGTGGCAGTGTGTTTCTGTGCTTGTGTGTTGTGGGAAGATGGTCAAGTACTGTGAAAAAACAACAACAACAAAAAAAAAACTAAACGCCTCTCGTTTTTTTGCTGTCGCCTCGTGAGACGGGAAACGCTTTGAGGTCTTTTTCCGACTCTCCCAGCAGCCTGTAGAAACGCTGACTCTTTGGCGAGAGGGGGCACATTCGGCGAGGCGGAACGTCCCCGAGGTTAGACGTGTAAATACAAAAAGAGCTGGACGTACACTTGCAGCTCCACTGTTTTCCTTCTGAATGTCTTGGTTACGCCATGCGCTCCTGAACGGGCCCTCTTTCTGTTGCTTTATACTGTAGATGTAAATGATTTAAGGTCTAATTTGAATCGAGAAGGGGTTAGTGTGCTTTTACCTTTAATAAGGCCGCGTCTGGGAGGACAGAACGGCCGCTCTACCGTTTAAAACTGTTAGAGAAGCTATTATCATTGCATAAATATCTAGGTAAATCTAACGTGTGTTTGTTTCTTTTTTTTAAAACTGTGGAAATCTGTTACCTGGTTTTCCACCGATGAGGTTACCGCCATCATTCGTCAGCCATAACACTGCAATAGACTGAAAAAACGTAGGCGCCGCCCTCCGTGAAACCTCTCCGGCCTCGTGTTTCCTAACTGTCTCCGTCGTCGTTTATCTCACTCCGACGCCGCTTGGTTTAACTCAACAGCTTCAGTCGATATATCCCCCGTGTGTCTTAAGCACCTCCCCCTGGCTGGTCAGTGGACCAATCGAAATCCTCAAGGGCTTTGTAACAAACAACCACTAATCCCTAACCCTGACCCTCGGTTTATAATACTTCACCTGGATTGGTCATTGGGGGGCTGTTTAACAGGGGTTCATACTGCAAAACCTTACTCACTGACTCCTCAGTTAATAATAACAGATAAAACCCAGACCGTATGACATAATCTTCATTATATTATCAGACAAAGGGTCCAGAATTACCCAAATATCGGAAAAAGCGACCAAAGTGCTCAGTCAGACGAGGCTTGGAGCCTTTCCTCTTAGGAGTCTTTCCCGGTTTTAATAACTGCGGTCAGCTTTATTCCAAAAAAACCCACTGATTATCCATGCTGTGGTCTTTCCCAGGCCACCCCTGCTCATTAATATGCCTAAATACACTAGCCTTCAGGCTGGATCATGAAGGCCTTAACCCAAAGGATGCAATTAGCGTCCGACTTTATATTATTTCTTTATTTAAGGGTGAGGGTTTGCTTTTGAATAAAGAACCACAATGCAGTCCGTGTAGTCACTCCTTAATGCCGTTAACACTTTAGTTCTGCCGCCAATTGTCACGTTTAAAATGAAAGAACAGCTTAAATATGATTCGTTCTCTGTCGGCTCACTAACAGATAGGGGTAAATACTGTTCTGCTTCAATCGTCCTGCGGGGGCAACTAACACAGAGGACATCTGATCTCAAACAGCCGAGCTCACAGAGGTTTGGAGACAATAACACGCTAATAACGAGGATTAGGACATAGTTTGACATCTCATTTGACTGCTTAAGTATGTCGGAAAACATCCAAACTCACAGAAACGTCCGGGTCCTGTATCAAAAAGTGATTCCATCTCAATAGTCCAGGAAGTCCGTCCTGCATAACCAAGTTGCTTATTATCAAAATATGCAATGCCGGGCGATCCCATAGCCCAGCTGTTGGGACGTAGACTATAAATAGGTGCAAATGCCACTAAAGTTGGATCCTGTGCCTGCCCTGCTCTGTCCCCCATATTCTCCTGTTTATCCTCACTGTTCCTGTCCAATAAAGGCAATAAAACGGCCAAAATATAACCTTAAGAAACAATGCAATACCACCAGATGAAGAAGAGGCTGTTTTATACGAGGTAACACGATTTTAGAACCATGATCTGACCAGATGAGTCACTTCTGGTGATGGAAGTGAAGTGAGCTGAGTTCAAATATCTCCAATAGTATTTACAATGATCACCGTGGAGCTCCCAACGTCATCTCCAGAGCAGGTTTATCCTCTGATATCACGAGAAGCAAAGTAGAGCTGGTGGAATTAATGAGTCTGTTTGCACAGTGAGATGATGCTCATTAGCGACGGTGATCTGCTCTGATTAAAACATCCAATCTCACTTTATGATACAGGTCCACACAGGATCTACGAATAATTCTTCAGCTTGGTCTATGTGCGCGGTGGGAAAGGGGCTCTGACAGCATCTAGGAAAAGACGGATTAACAGGAGGTTGTGAAAACACCAGGTGTGTGCTGTCTCCAGACACTAGTTACCAAACATGATGTCAGGCAACAGCCAAGCCTCTCTGAAAAAACCCCGGACACGAGGAAACTTTTCACGCAGCAGTCAAAAGAACCAAAGCATGAGACTGACAAACATTATCAGACGCTAACGGACTGGGAATCCTCTTTTATGATTCAGTATTAGACAAATAAGAGATTAAAAACATCCTAACCCAAAATCTGTCCGAGTGGTTTGGACTTCAGACTGTTAACTATTTGTCCTCATCCAGCTGAAACCACAGAGATCTCAGTGTTCACTAAACTTACTACGTATTAGTTTGTTAAAAATATGCATCTGAATTGGCTCGAATCTCCCTTCTGGTGTCGTGTATTTTTTACTTGATGTATAATACAATAATAGTATTTTAAATGTCATCTGTGAAGTCAGTAGTCTGGGCTAGATGTGATCCATTTTAAACTTAGCAACAGTCTAGACAGCTTTCAACCCCTGTGAGAGAGTAGAGCCGAGCCGAGCCCTGGATCGGGCGAGTTTGGCAAATCAAACTGAGGATGAAATGTGATAAGTTTTGGTAAAAAAAATTTGGAACCGCCAAAGGAGAACTCTTTACCTTACGAGGCAGCTGGACTCTCACGAGAACTGCGTCTTTGTCGGGCTTCGAGCTCGATCCACAGCTGTTTGGACCGACCGGCAGCGTCCTGCGAGGAACTATTGGCAGCGAGTTGTAGGCGTGAATTAGCCAACGATAGATGGTGATAAACAGATGGTTCGTCTAATCACCTTCCTGGGTGTTTGCTGAAAGTGCCTGCCCTTTTCCAAACAGTTTCCAAGGCAACTTCTCAGACGTACAACAGCCCATCTGTCGGTTTAGAACGACTGCAGGACGAACGTTTCGCTCTGTTGCACTACGACGCTCGTACAGTTTGAGAGCGACTCAGAAGCCGACTTAATCGGGACGGCCAACCTGAAATCGAAACGAGACGTCGCATCACTTGCGTTTGCCAAACTCGCCGCGATACAGGGCTCTCCATTAGCGTAGCTGTTCTCGTGCGAAGGCCTTGGAGTGGCAGTTTACCCCTGTTTTGCCAAAGGGAAATCTTTCTATCAGAAACTTAATACTTGCAGTCCAAACTGTAAAGGGTTTTCTAACCAGTGGATCTTTCTTAGAACACCAAATATTCTTCATATTGCATTAATAATCTGAAAAAAAAAAGGGACAAAAAGAGCCTTGACGTTGTTCTAACCTAACCCGAATCTTTCTATTTAAATTTGTATGTATTTGTCTCTTCACTGGCATGGAGCTGAAGGTTTATACACTGTAAAAAAAAATAAATGAAATAAAAAAAGAGTTATGCTAGCTTGCGCAAAAAAAACATTATGGAAGCTGTTTCCATCACTTTTTGAGTACGTTCAACAAGGTACAGACTATCTAAGCCGTGTTGTATTTACTTAAAACGTGCCCGCTACCTAATTTGTTAGATCGAACGCTCCTGAGTGAGCAGGAATGAAATGCTTGCAGTAATGTAGTCGTTTGCATCAAATTAATTTGTTGCACAAATTTTTCCAGACAATTTTTTTTTCTTTTTCTTTTTTTTAAATTAATGCCAGATTAGCTGTTTCGCTGCACCGGCTTCGTTGCACCGCCTCTCTCAGTGTATCTACTTTAGTCGGGTGTGAAGCTCGTGGCGGGTCGAGTTCAAACCGAGGTGGGAAGCTAAAAAAAAAAACAACATGTCGGCTGCAGACTTACAGGTTTGCACGGTTTACCTGCCACGATTGTACGTCCACAACCGGGCTCCTCTAAAGCAACTCGTCCCAGGAAAGAGTCGGTTTTGCAGAATTTAGCTTCCTGCCTCGGCTTCCGAGGTTCGACGAGTCACAGGTTTAGCTGAGCCACCGCTGTACATATAAACACTACGAGCGAGCAAAGAGTAGAAACATATCTGATTCCTCTGCGGCGGGGTTTGAAGAAGAGGGAAGGAAAAAGCATTGCACTGGTTCTTGTGTGAAACGGCTATCGTGTTGTTTCATTAGCAGAGTTGCTTCTGATGTAAACAACGACAGTTTTGTTTTGTTTTTTTTAATTTACACAATAATAATGATGTACCTGATGTAAAAAAAAAAAAACAACAAAAACAAAAAAAAGTACAGTGGTGTTGAATCAGTTGTGAACCATTAACGATGTTGCTTCTAATGTAAAGGTCGACGTTTTTGTTGCCTCGTTCGCTCCTTAACTGACTGTCCGTCCGACAGACTGAGGAATAAATAAACGCAACAGACAGACGAAACGAGCGAGAAAAAAAACCCTGAAGGACAAACGCCCCTGCTGGTACGAGCCGAGCGACGTCACGCTGAGACGTCTCGGCTGAAAGCGAAAAATGTTGGAAAAAGAAAAAAAACATTACCAGAGCTATTCTCTACCCTTAAAGTACAATGTGAGAGGATGTTAATAAGGAGAAGAAGGAGGAAAAGGAAGACGTGGAGGAGGAAGAAGAAAATTTTAAAAAAGGAAAAAAAAACATGAAGTTACAGCCATACATTGATTTCTGGGTCAGTGAGATCGAAGTGGACTTCTCCTGCCCAGCATGTGTATTGTTCTGGTGTCCGATCCGTCCCTCTGTGTCTCTTCGCCCTCTTTCTCTGTCTTTCTTTCTCTCTGCTGCCAAAGTAACCGAAAACAGGCGGTGATATTTCCTTTTGTTCTGTATTTTCTTCCCCTCCCTCCAAACCCCCTAAAATGCCCTCCTTTTAAAACCCTCCTTTGTCTCCCTTTGCCATGTTTTCCATATTTTGGAATGTCAATGTGCTACTTGTTGACACTGTGCATGAATGATAACATGTCTGTATATAGTTATAGAGAATCGTATCCCATTCCCTCCCCTCCCCTCGGGTGTTGACAGAAAAATGGTTTGAATGTTGTACAGATTCAGGTTTTTGTTTTTCCGTTCATCTTTTATTCAGTTTTTTTTTTTGTAATGTACGTAGAGCTTAACAACAGTTTGTTTTTAATTTAAACATCTTGAGTAACTTGCACATTACTGATTGATTAATTAAGGTTTTTTTTTTGTTAAAAAGGCAATATCTGCTGTTATTGAATGAGAGATGAGACCTTAAAGGAGTTATGTATCTTAAATAAATAATCTATACGGGAGTTGCATGGGTTATTTGTACAAAAAGACAAAACACACACACACATAAAAAAAAAGACACTGCTTGCTACTTCTAATACCGTGGCTGTATTCTCTGACGGAGGACGAGGAATACTGTATGTACATCTAAAGGTTATTTTGTCATTAAAGAAATAATAATAATAATATTGTGTATATACTGTACAGTGTTACGAGTGCGGTGGACTGTATGGCCATCACGCTAACCATAGAGAATTAATTCTACATATTTATTTAAAGGAAACACTCACTACACTCAATGAATGACATATATTGCCTTTTTTGGAGAAGTCGTTAGTTTGCTTCCATCTCTGCCTTTTTCTCCTCATCCGTCCACTCTCTGGTTTATTTTTTTTTTTCCCTCCTCTCTTCCATCTCGTGTTATTTTCTGGGTTTGGTTCCATCTGGACTCCACGCTGGCTCCTTGTTCACCTGTTTCTTCTTACATCCATCTACGCTTACATACATCAGATCTGCCTGTGTGTCCATCTGTCCGGCTCAAAGGATCACTTCGCTGTATGTAAGTCACCATCTGTCTGATTCTCAACCTTTTTTCTTGGTTTTCTAAATCCTTCTCTTTCTTTTCCTTAATCTTTTTTTTCCTTTACATCCTTCTCCATCCTCCTTCTCTTCGCTCTCGCAGGGTGTAGTCGGGGATTTCATGTTTGTCGATTTGATTTGGTGTGTTTTTTTTTTTCTTAAAAATGGAACAATAACCGCTTGTTTGTAATAATGAAGGTAGTCCTTTTTATTTTTATTTCGCCGCTGTTCCTCTGTGTGTTTGTGCGTGTAATAATTTTCTTTTTTTTTTTATTAATTTTCGTTGAACACCAACTGATAGGAGGAAAGTTGTTGTATGTGTGTTGCCACTAACTGTGACTGCTCTCCATGGTACATGGTACTTCTGATAAAAACCAGTAAAATAAAGTTTGGGATACCCTGTTTCAGAGACCCTGCGAGTCCACTGCCTTTCTGCTCAGTGCCTGTGTTGCATAAAGTCTCAACATAAAAGCTTGTTTATTATGCAAATCTGCGTTATAGCGTTTAAATCCAAACAGGAATTGCTCTTCGGCGTGCGCCTCCTTCTTCTTCTTACCCTCAACCTCCATCCATTTTCTTTTATGTGTTCCGACTGCAGATGATGAAAATGACATTTGTGTGAATGGGCGACATCATTAACTGTCATCTGACTTGTTCTGTCATTGTGTCAGCGAGGGAGGCGACGGCTGCATCACCGCTGATTAATTCTGTCGGTTCTTCGCGCATTGTCTCCGTGTTTGCTTTCGCCGCCGCTCTTCCCTTTAACGCACATATTTACCAAGCTTTCCTTTGACAGAGAGAATTCTAAAGAAGTAAGTTATTCATTTGAGTCAAAAAGAAAAGTTCCTTTCAGTCTAGCAGAGGATGGGAGCATTAGCGGTGATTAAATGCGCTAATTAAGTCTGCTGTCTGTTCTGTGGCAGGTTTAAATAGGTCGCGCAGAGCGGTTGTCATTTTCTGCTGCTGTTGTGTTTATCGTTTGTAGTTTTATTGGGGGAAAGGTTTCTCACTTCTGATGAAAAAAAAACTCTACACTTTGCTCTTAATTTTTCCAATTTATACTCTGTTAGCTGATGGTATTTACCAACAACTCACAACCTCATAATGTGGACTCCTGTTGCTTTTTTCTAAGTGCAATATTGCAGCTCCACCACCATTAAATGAGGTGATGGAGGCCTGCAGAGCCCACTGGAGAGTGGAGGAGGTCAGACTATGGCTCATTTACACATAGCAGAAACAGTGATATCTCAGTGGGCCTTTGGTTTCCACGTAAACGAAGCTACGAGTCACCGAAAACAATCATATCTGACAACTTGAAACATGGGGATTTGGAAAAACTCCATCTTTACATTTGCATGTCGGCAGGAAGAGGCAGAGTCTGACGTCACAGTGAGCGACAGAAGCATCACATGTGTGCGACCTTGTTTGCAGTTTGGCTACATCCATATATTTGGACTGACGTGTCTCAATATTTTCAAGAATTTTACTTGTTTTGTTCTCTAACACCACATTTAGAAGTAGCTCCACTTCTCTGTCGGTCCTTGCTCCATTATCGTTGAAGTAACAGGAAGTTGTGTTTATTCCAGGATTCTGATTGGCTAGCATGGCTTTATGCTTCTCGTTACACTGCCCCCTGTAGGTCTGGCAGCTCATAGCAGCTCTCAACGACGTGTTTATGCAGGTTTGTGTAAACACAACAATCTGGTGTAAGTGATGTTATTTTCAAAAAACGTAGAGCCGTTTTTGTGAATACCGGCTACGTGTAAACGTGGCCTTGATTTGACACCCTAAAGATGTCATGCTTACACCTTTAAAGGTAAAAACTCAGCACCTGTTGCATGAATCAGCTGATTGGCTTCACCTGTTTGATTCATGCATCACAGTGACTGAACCACAGCTGCTGCTCAGCTCAGAATGTAAGTAGATTTACTCAAAGGTTTCACCACAACTCAAGCACAGACATGAGGTAGTTTTCTACTCCATCTTAGAGGCAAATCTCTTTACTTTTTGAAACTTGTCTGACAGTTGCTTTTATATTAATATTTTTTCATACAACTTCTGTCGAGTGAAAACCGCTCATCTCCAAAACTGGTCAATTTCAATGTTTGAGATAAACTGAAAGGATAAGATAAGTTTATTGATTCCTCACCAGGAACACGTACGTGTTACAGCAGCTAGACAAGAAAACAAAAGTACAATAAGGCTAAAAATAAAGATGTAATAATAATAAGGACTGACTATGTACGTCTTTCACATGATGCATCATACGTTCTTCTGCTTCTAATTTGTAAAGAACTCTCTTATATTGTCTGTAAAATGCCTTGTCACAAAGCTAAAACATCATCTTTACATGAAAAATAGTCCATATTTCTTTTAAAGATCGACTTTTTAGAGATGCTTAATGTGACAGCGACACTCATCTTACAGAGAATAATGCACTGCTGTCGACTAAACCACCCAACAATATAAAATAGGGGAAAAAGCAACATACATTTTGACTCAGCAGTAATATGAATCCAACAACAGCATAAATATAACAGGGACTATTTTACGTCTCATAGTACATTATCTTGGTAATGCATACTTTTATTGAAGTAAGGTTTTGAATGCAGGATTTCTACCTGCAGTGTAGTATTTTTTCACAGTATTTTTACTTCAGAAAATGATCTGAATTGGTCTTCAGATACCGTTGCTGCCTACAGCCCAGTCACATTCATACAGGTGTGCTGCACATCCATTAACATGCAGCTCGTCTCACTGTTGCTGTTTGCTGCTCACTGCACTCCCCAAACCTCCTCAGAGCTACGATCAAATATTCACACGTTTAAGTCACAGCACAATCCTGGTTGGTATTTTCTGAGAGATCTCTTCTATTTTGTGCAGAATCTGAGTAACATTCGGTTATTTTCTTGACCCTAAAAGTCAAAGATTAATAACGGGATGAAGGAAAACTGTCTGACAACTCCAAAAGAATTAGATCCATCCTCTGACTCAACGTGGAGGCTCAAAGTTTGTGAGAAGACCATTACAACCTGCGGAGCTTTTAAAAAGGAATAAACAGATAGATGGAAAGTTGGTCAGCAGCTCTCCTGTCATACTGCGGCTGACTGATAGATGAGTCGTGCTCCGTCGTTTCCTCCTCCCGGGCTGCCACCGTGATGGATCGCGGCCATTCTCTGCATGCAGAGTGATGGATTCTTCCCATTACAATTAAATCCTCGTCCCTGTTTGGGGAAGTTTTCTGTTTTAATTTATTATAAACAAGTGTGGCTTGCATTTGGCCATTTGAAGAGACTTTATGTTTTACGACGTCCTGGCGGCATGTGTGTGAGTCAGCAGCAGTGAGTTGTTGTTGTTGTTGTTGTGTTTTACGCCGCTACTTGTATACAGGTGTTTTTCCTCTCTCCTCCTTTCATTACCCGCCTGCTGCTGCTGCCGTGTCTGTCTAAAACCTCATTAGGCTGTCACATTTGATTTCTGGAGAGGTTGTTATCCGGACGGCCCCTCGGCTTGAAGGTTAGCATGCTGGGAAATTATTGTGAATTTATGTCCGTACGTGTGCGTGCATGGCTGCTCCTGAACGCCGAATAAAGCCCGGAACTGTCAGAAAGTCGGCGCTGGCTGTCAAACTGCACACCAGCACTTAGTGAGAGACAACAGCCGTGATTTTCCTCCACGCTGTTCACTCCTCTTTGTTTTAGCTGCCTGTCAGGGCCCAACCGGATCCTATGTGGTAAAAAAAAGTTAAGAAACATTCGAAGATCTCACACAAGCGCCAAAGTGTTTTTA